GCGGGGATACTAACCACTATACTACCGAGGAATTGGATATCTGTCATATGATTGTTTTCGGACGGGCAGTATCTGCTTTTGTTTAATTGCAGGTATATTTTCTCATTGATTTTCATATATGTTAACACTATCATTTACCACTCTTAAAGAACAATACTTTCTCTGAACGGTATTAGGGAGATAGTTCCATATTGATTTGTTTGAAAAATTGAACATTTTGAAATATCGCTTCTTACATTCAACTTTTCATTCTGTCTCCTTGTTCTTGTGTTCGAAATTATAAAGTCATATTTGTCTTATTTTAATCTTCCTATAATCATGAAATCAAGTCGCCCTTTTCCTTCGCACAGAGAAGTAAATCCTAATTGCTGTAGCCTATCTTTGTAGTTTTCACTTAAGAGTTGATGCCCCATCTTGTGGATTTGAACATTTTTTTTTTCCAATTTGCCAATATCCTTTGTTAAGCGTGTGCTCCATAGCACTGCATTGTAATATCTTTGTCCATATCTTCGTTCACATTTGTCAGTGGTTCTCAACTCTTAGTTATTTAAGATACACTTGATGTTTAAATTAATTAAACTCACTTGGTAAAAATGGGAATAAATAAAGATGCCCTGATTATCGCGAGGTTAAAAAAAAAAAAAAAAAAAAAAAATCTTTTTGGGTTGCAGCCAAAATATATAGAAAAGTATGAATGCCCTCTTTATCTTTGCAGTCAGTACTAGCATTTGATAATCATCTGGGATCAAGTTTCTGGATATGATTATCCCAAGATATTTTATCCTATTCAGATAGCTACCTCATGTGTGACTTTGTAATACTGATGAAAATAATAAACATCATTGGTGCTAAGACTGATCCTTGGGATACGTCACTAGCTTTCTTCGTCTTACTGAATTTTTGTGTTGAAAATAAAGGTTAACCCATTGCCGCCGGGGAAAATTAACAAAAAATGGGGAAAATGCTATACTCATTTTTTATATTTTTGTGAAATATCTCTGTCCATAGATGGCTCTGCTAGTCCTGATTTCACCTTTCCTTGAGTTGGCGGAAAAAAAAAAACGTATTCTTACTAGTGCTATAAATATAGATGGTGTTATTTTTAACAGCAAATTAGGATAATGTTAAATATTTTCGTAAATCGATGAAAAGGGTGAACGGGCGAGACAAGCAATACTGTAATTGGCTCATTGGTGACTTAGTACAAATGTAGCCATCTATGTGTATAAACAATCAAACAAGTCGACTCACAGTGGGCATGGCATGTACGTACATGCCATCCCCGGCGGCAATGGGTTGATAGTTGTTTAGCGCATTCCCTAAGAATCCAGTCAGTGATCTCATCTGGCCTTTTAACCATTTAAGTAGGTCTTTATTCTCTTTGCGTATAATGTTTTCGACATTCTGATTCTCGTTTGTAAGGTATCTGTTCACTTCAAAATATGTTCCCTGAACAAACGCTGACTGGAATCTCTCCGTATGGATTTCACACGTTTCCTTTAATCTTACTATTTATGTAGCTAAAAAAGAGCATTGGTTAGATTCTTTATATATATATATATATATATATATATATATATATATATATATATATATATGTATATATATATGTATATATATATATATGAATATATGCAGGTATGCATACAATGTGTATGTATATATATATATATATATATATATATATATATATATATATATATATATGCAGGTATGCATCTCTTCTTCTTCTTCTTCTACAGGCTTTTGTCCCAGTTCAACTGGGGTCGCCGGTGCGGATCTTCCTCCTCCACTCTGCCCTATCCAGGGCCTCCCCCTCCGTCACTCCCGCCGTCTCCATGTCCTCCTTGATGCAATCCTCCCATCTCCTCTTCGGTCTTCCCCTCTTTCTTCTCCCAACCACCAGTCTCCTCACCCTCTTGCCCACGTACTCGTCCTCTCTCCTTGTCACGTGTCCCAGCCACCTGAGTCTGCACTCCCTCAGCTTCTCCCCGAGCTCTCCTACTCCAATGGTCTCTCTGATCGTTGTGTTGCGGATTTTATCCCGCCTCGTCTTCCCCAGCGCGATCCTTAGCATCCTCATTTCTGCCACATTCATCTTTGTCTCCTGGCCTTTCGTCACCGCCACTGCTTCCATTCCGTATAACATTGCCGGCCTGACCATGGTCTTGTGGAGTCTGCCCTTCAACTTTGGTGGTACCTTCCTGTCACAGAGTACTCCAGTAATCTTCCTCCATGCGTTCCAACCCGCCTGGATCCTCTTCCCTACTTCCTTATCCGACCCTCCGTCACACTGCACCGTGGAGCCCAGGTACTTGAATTCTTGGACTCGGTTTAGCTTCGCTCCCTGCATCCTCACTTCTCTCTCTGGCTCTTGTTCGCCCATGCAGAGGTACTCGGTCTTCTGTCTGCTAACCTTCATGCCTCGCTCTTCCATTGCCTTTCTCCACTGTTCCAACCTCTCTTCCACCTCCTCATTCGTCTCTCCATTGAGTGCTACATCGTCTGCGTACATCAGATCCCATGGTGCTGTCCTCTGCACTGCTACCGTCAGGCAGTCTATGACCAATGCAAAGAGGAAAGGGCTAAGTGCGGATCCCTGGTGCAATCCCACTTTGACTTGGAAACTGTCCGTGGTTCCCACTATGGACTTCACCTTCGTTGTCGTGCCTTCGTACATGTCTTGGATTATCCTGACATACTTCTCGTCCACCTCTTTCAGCCTCAAGCAGTTCCACACCTCCGATCTAGGTACTCTATCGTACGCCTTTTCCAGGTCAATGAAGACACTGTGCAGCTCCCTTTGACCCTCTCTGTATTTCTCCATCAGTTGTCTCAGCGCAAATATTGCGTCTGTCGTGGACCTGCCTGGCATGAAACCGAACTGTTGCTCCGATATATATATATATATATATATATATATATATATATATATATATATATATATGCAGGTATGCATACAATGTATATATATATACACATGCATATATATGTATATATATATATATATATATATATATATATATATATATATATATATATGTGTGTGTGTGTGTGTGTGTGTATGTATGTATGAATATATACAGGTATACATACAGTATATATATGTATATAACATATGTATGTATGTATACGTGTGAGTATACACATGTGCATATACATATATATATACGAATGTATAATATATTTATTCATATGTGTGTTTGTATGTATATATATGTGTGTGTATGTGTACGCACATACACGCATTTGCATATTACATATATATATATGTATATGTATATATCATCAACATATCTGTACTTATATATCTACACATATATGTGTACATATATATTTGTTTATGTTTTTAATATATATATATATGTGTGTGTGTGTAAATGAATAAATATACATATAGATAGGTATATGTATGTTTATATATATGTACATATATACATATATATTGTAGGTGTATATAAAGAGATATGTATGGATGTGTATATGTAAATATATATACACATGCATAAAACAATCGATTTCTCTCTCTGTATATATATATATATATATATATATATATATATATATATATATTATATATATAATGTGTATATACACATACATGTAATGTGTATATACACATACATATAATGTGTATATACACATACATGTAATGTGTATATACATATACATGTAATATGTATATACAAATACATGTAATGTGTATATTCACATGCATTCATATGCATGTGAATATACACATTACATGTATAAGCGCATGCATTCTCATGCACGAGTCTTGCTGGCTTTACGTCTGTTGCCCTTCAAGTAGGCCTACATGAAATAGCATTACAACCCAGTTCAAAATTACTTTTTTTCTAATATATTTCTTTACATGTATTCTATTTTGTTTAGATATGTTCCATAAATCTAAAAGTCATAGATTTAGAGCTTAAGTCCACGCGACACAGAAAAATTACTCATCTATAGGTGTTTAAAAGGTTTCAAAGAGAGTATTTGTGTAAAGAAAATGTGCATCGGCCGGGAATCGAACCCGGGCCTCCCGCGTGGCAGGCGAGAATTCTACCACTGAACCACCGATGCTACGGTTAAGATAAAATTCATTCATTGTTTCATTCATTCATTCATTCATTCATTCATTCATTCATTCATTCATTCATTCATTCATTCATTCATTCATTCATTCATTCACTCACTCATTCACTCATTCACTCACTCACTCACTCGATTGAATGGTAACTTATTCCTATATTTAATTTCGCACGTATGTGTTCACGAATACACATGTACTTATGAATGAGTTGTAAGTATAAATTTACGTGGAGGGGGGGGGGAGGTGCACATGCATAATACATATGTATTATATATACATACAGACACACTCACACGCAAATAAAGACACATTACATATGTATGTGTATGTGTATGTATATGTATATTTAAATATATATATACATGTATGTGTTTATATATATATTTGTATATATGTATGTATATGTATTTGTGTGTATATATAAATGTACATTTATGTATATATATACATATATGCATATATATATATATATATATATATATATATATATATATATATATATATATGTGTGTGTGTGCATATATACATACATGTATATATATTTATATAGATAATTACATATATATATTTATATAGATAATTATATATATATTTATATATATGCATATATATATTATATATATATATATATAATATATATATACACACACACACATATATATATATATATATATATATATATATATATATATATATATATACATATATATATTTATATGTTTATATAATCATACATTCATATATATAAATGTATAAATATACATATATATACATATGTAATATATATACACATACACACACACACACACACACACACACACACACACACATATATATATATATATATATATATATATATATATATATATATATATATATATATATATATATATATATGTATATACATGTATATGCACTTCAATATAGATATATATATATTACATATATATACACAAATAATTTATATATATATCAATTATTTGTGTATATATACATTTATGTATAGATAGACAGATAGATGGATAGTTATAGATATGTGTATACATTTATATATATATAGATATATACTTAGATATCTGTACATACACACACACACACACACACACACACACATATATATATATATATATATATATATATATATATATATATATATATATATAT